CCCCCCCGGGGGTGCCCGTGGGACTGCCGCCCTCCCCACGCCGGTCTGCGTGACAGCACATGCGAAACGGCCGGCGCCAGCGGCACCCCTGTACAGCAAGGTTCCCCTCCTCCGCCAGAGACCCCCAACCCCGCCGGCACCTGCAGGAAGCCCCTTGCCCTCTTGCGGCACCTCAGGCACCAGCAATGACTGTGACCGAAGTTGCACCGGTTTGGCACCAAACCTTGCAAGTTGCTCCTCATTCTCACTTCATCGGCACCAGGTTTAGGCTGGCACAGACTGTGATAAGGCATTTGCTGTTGGGGCGGAGTGGTGACCATGATTTCCATATGTAAGAAGCATTTCAATAAGATGTTTAAAAAAAAAAGATAAATATTCTCGACATCCTTCATCGGCCTGGCAAACGCACGCTGACCCGCACGCAGGCAGGCGGGCTCACAGCCTTCGTGCTGGCGCGGCAGGGCGATCCCCACCGCGAGCCGGCGGCCCCTGCACGAGCGCAGTCGCTGCGTGGTCTACAAAACGAGAAGCGACGTGGGCAGCTGAGGCCAGCCTGACACCAAACTTGGGTCTTGCTCCTGTAAACTAAGTTAAGTGGTCCTTGCTGTTTTATACGATCCTCATCAATGAAATACCAGGCAGATGCCCCCCCACATCTCTGCATCCAGCAAACAGACGGAAGAAGCCTGAGCAAGCGGTCCTGACCGTTAACAAGGTCATCGGGAAAACTCAGACTCCCGTCGTGATGGGCTGTGGAGCAGAACCCACGGTGCATGCCGGCAATGCAGGCACTCGCCTCAAACGTGTTTAAAGGGGATGAAAGAAAACCACACAGACCATAGAGCATTTCACACTGTGAAAAAAATCTCTCCCATCAATATTTTAAGCTCCCCTAACATTGCCTCTATTCTGAAAAAGCAAACATTAAATTATTCACCACTCTCTCTGATTTTATAAACTCCATTCCCTTGTACGTGGGTTTGCTCCTCCTAATTACCCAGTGTACCAGCAGAAAAGGCACAGGACCGGGCGTGGGCAGAGCGCCCCTCCGCTGAACACCCCGCTGCACCCAGAACCCGACGGGGGACGGCAGCCGGAAACCGGGCGGCCACACCTTCCCATCGCCCGCCACCGCCGCCCTGCGCCAGGGGCTGCTCAGAGCCAGCCTCCCCCGTCACCAGTTATTAACGCCCCAATGCGGAAAGCGCGCTGGGCACTGCCCCAGGCAGCTCCTTCCCAAACCAGAGAAGCGGCCTCACCAGTTCCTGTGCAGCTCTTCCAGGTCTGGTTCTCGCCGCATGGAGGGCAAAGACCCCGCAAGCGTGTGCCCTCGCCCCGGGGTCAGCTCGCCCTGTGGCCCCCCTGCCCCTCCTGGCTGGGGCTGCTGCTCTGGAGCGGGGAATCCACCTCAGAGGGACCTAATTCAGCACAACCCCCTTCTCCAGAGCCTGAGAGGGGAGAATGCATTGCTGCGCCGGCTGCATTATTAATCTGCAACGGATTTAAAAGCCCTTTAAGACAGGAGCAGATTCCTGCCGGGAATATAAATGACATCGTCCCAGAGTGTACATTTACATAGCTAATGCGGCTCTCCTCCCGCAGGTAAACAGCTCCATTCACTCCTCAAACACTTTTATTTAGTTCCACGCTGGGGCCAGATTAGAAAAATGACCGTATTAATTTTGCCTCCTGCAGACTAAACAGCATCTTTTCTTTCCCCTTGCGAACACAACGAACAACAGCTCGTCCCCTCTCGTGACTGCTGCAGGGGAAGGGCAGCGCGAAAGCCGCGCTCAGAGGCGCATTTAGAGGAGCAGGGATCTGACCGCTAAATAGGGTCTCATTTCTTTGTTTGATTTTCCCTCCGAGTCTGCAGATCTGCAGCCAGAGCCTCCCGGCCGCA